CTCAGTGGGGACCCCTGCGGCCATATCCCGAGTTCCCCTGTCAAACTGAACACGATCGAGTAAGTGCGGAAGACCTCCGGCTTGCGCTACTGGACAAGCCCGATTGCCTGGAAATACCGTACGAATCCCGCTCTCATTACTTCACCCACCCGGGCTTTGTTCGTATTTCTACTCCCTTCCCTCCTTTCCAGCTCGTTCTCCCGTACCATCGACTTCTAGTGGTCCCCTGGAACTACATTGCAATCCAGTGGCCCCGCGTGTCGCGACGAAACTTGCGACGACCGCGCGGTGGAAGACGGAATTATTCTGTGACCGAATCGACCGCCACGTGGCACTAACGGGAATTCCCCAACCAACAGCCCCCGAGTCGCCTAAGTACCCGACGTTCACCAATTGTACTCCTGTCCCTGATTCCGCCACAGAAGATCTCAGTTTTGTCCTGGTACTTCACCCCCACTTTCCTAAAATCCTTGGCACACCCCTTAACGCACTTACGGGCCCCTGTCCTACTCCGAACAGGAAGTCGCGTTGGGCGTGAGGTTGGTATCGGAGCCGACACGTGGCGGGACTTAGGGACTTATAGACTGAAAAGTAGGACTGAATCGAGCTGGCTAATAGGGGCCGTCCGAGAGCTCGGTCCGGGACCGGACGTGATCCAATCGTCACGAGGAGTCGATCAGCGGCTCGGCGAGCGGCCAACATGAATGGGAACCAGGGAAACCAGCCTAACCAGCCGGTTCAGCCAAACCAACCCGTCCAACCCAATTAGCCACGTGCGCGTGCTCCTGATCTCTATCTTTTCGACCCATCACATCATCTTGCCGGAGCATGGCTAGCCACGCTTCGAGCACAACAACACAACGATCAAGAGGCACAGATCAACATCCCCCCTCGATTAGGAGGAAACACTCACCATTGGTACACCACCTATGTATGGGTCGACCTCCCGACGTTCGAACGGGACTTCTTGCAGAGATTCAACTACATCGTACAGATTTCGAGGATGAACGACTCTTCGGAACCCCCTCGAACCCTGTACGAAGGCATCTCCCAGCTCCTTACTCAATACAGTGACAAGAGACCCATCTACGACATGTCAGACTTACCTCGCTCCTTGTTGCAAGCCGCAAAGGAAGTTCGACTGCTGCGCTTAGGGGCGGAAGCCGAGTCTCTGGAACCCTCTGGGCGTTTCGAGACAGCAACAGACGAATTGGGCATCAAGATCGCCTCGAAACCTGTACCCTGGCAAGACAGACGTGACGGGATTACCCCAGAGGAACACGTGGCCATCCGAGAAGAAGATGCGCAAATGATGGCCACAGAAAACTCATTCATTTCTGCTCCTCCGAGAGAAGCCACCAAACAAGCAAACACCGAACAGGTTAGCGTACGGATATGGGATCGGATTTATGAGTTGCACGTGCCGACTTACGTACTCGACGATATCCATCGCCTAATCGCCGACATTTTGAAAGAATATCAAGGCACGATTAGCGTGACAGATACCGATATCGGTCTATCGCTGATCATCCAGCACGAGATTCAGACCCGAAATCACCCCCTGATCCATTGCAAGCCGTACCGATACTCCCTCACGGAACGAAAGACAGCCTTGCAACGAGTCAGAGAATTCGAACTCAGCGGATGGATCGAGCCGGCCACACGGCCATGGTCGTTCCCGGTTGTGCTAGTGCCTAAAAAGAACGGGTCGATCCGCATCTTCATTGATTATCGTAAGTTGAATGAGGTCACGATCAAGGATGTTTACCCCTTACCTAGGATTGACGATTTGTTGGATGCGATTGGATGTGCGAATTATTTCAGTAAGTTTGATATTCGGCACGACTTCTACCATATCCTGGTGAAGGAGGAAGACCGGCCGAAAACTGCGTTTGTTCTGTTTGAGGGCACGTGGCAATGGGTGAGGTGTCCCATGGGAATCTGCAATGCGCTGGTGACATTCCAGCGCGCGATGAACGTCACTTTCCAAAACTTCGTCAACAAGACACGGCTCACGCAGGGGATGATTAACTTTTGCGTGATCGTATACATGGACGACATCCTGGTGTATTCGGAGACGTACCACGGGCACGCACAGCACATCGAATGGACACTTGGGGCATTGCGGGATGCAGGTTTCAAGATTGCTATCGAGAAGAGCGAGTTCTTCTTGCCAGAGATTTCGTTCCTGGGATACGTGGTGACACGTGGCGGACTGCGACCGGACTCCAGAAAGGTCGCGGCGGTAAAGGAAGCACCGGTCCCTACAACACTGACGCAGGTTCGAGCCTTCCTGGGACTGGCGTCATACTACCGGCCGTTCATCAAGGGGTTTGCCGCGATAGCGCGACCGCTGACGAATCTGCTACGCAAGGAACAGCCCCTAAACTGGGATTTGGAGTGTGACCAGGCCTTCGCCACACTGAAGGGGACCTTGGCCACGACTCCAATTTTGATCCGGCCGGACCCAGCCAAGCCGTTCATATTAATAACGGACTGGCAGCCGGAAGCGATCTCGGCGATCCTAGCGCAGAAGGGGAACGACAGACGCGAGCACGTCATCGAGTACGCGTCGCGGACAGTGCTAGACGAACGCAGGAACGACTCCGCTCCGCATGGTAAATGCTACGCAGTAGTATGGGGGATTCAGCATTTCCATCCGTATCTGTACGGGCAGAAGTTCCAGCTGGTCACGGATCATGAGCCACTGCTCGCGCTCAAGAAGCTCACTAATTACACGGGCATGATCGGGCGCTGGGCAGTACGGTTGCAAGAGTACGACTTCGACATCGTGCACCGAAAGACGGAACGACACGGCAACGCTAACGGGCTGACACTTCTGCATCGACCGGCAAAAGTGCTCAAGGGTGACGAGATCACCCCGTGGAAGGAACCGAGGCCAAATAACGAACCTAAGTACGGTCAGTTGGCGGTGCTGCCACGTGGCAAGAAGGAGGCCTGAACTACGAAGCAATGGGGGACGAAGGTAATACTAACACTCCCCTTTCCCCTCTTTCCCCTTCGTCTTTTTCTTCTCTCCCCGACAAATTCTGTTATTTCTGTGAATCTATTTCTCGCATCTACACTGTCCGTATGCGTCCGAAGGGAACGGGGTACGTTGATTGGGTAGATTGTCGGAAATGTGTCGCACGTGCCCATGGTGCGTGCATTCAGTACCGGAACACTGACAGACCCTGGCTGTGTCCCTTGTGTCGTACCGACAAGATCCCGACGGAGGCTCGATTTCTCGACGCCACGTCGGAAGGACCGGACAAAATTCAGAAATTTTGGCGAGCGGAAGTCTGGACAGATGTCGCTCTCATATCTGTTGTGGTAGGGAACCCCCTCGAGACCTTCTCGAAGGAAGATCGGAGGCGGGCCAACGAAAGAGCACGAGATTATCGGTGGGAAGATGGACGGTAACAAAAGCGTAAAACGGACGGCAGTGGGACTTGGTTAGTGGTTCCGCATCCGTTCATGCGGTACGACTGGGTACGGACAGCACATGAAGAATCGGCGGCACATTTCGCCGTACGGATCACCGAAGCTGCCATCGATAGGAGTCAGTGGTATTGGTCCAATATCCGAGATGATGTTAAGTTCATCGTTCAGCACTGTCAAGTCTGTGCGGCCGACAAGGCGCCAGTCCAGCCACCCCGATCGATTGTCCCAACGGTAGTTGAAAGGCCATTTCAAAGAGTTAGCATGGACACTACCGACATTGTGGTGCCCCCTGGACCTAATAGTTGTGAATATTCAGTCCTTTTGGTTTTTGTCGACCACTTTTCGAAGTGGATCGAGGCCTATCCTTGCAAGACGCGACAGGCCGCGGAAATCGTGCGGTACGTTAACCGTTTCTTAGGAATGCACCAAGACACGGAAGAGATCTTGACGGACAATGGGGCTGAATTGAGAGGCGAAGTTGAAAGGAACCTGGTCATACACGGCGTCTCTATACGGCACACCGCACCACATATGTCACAGTCCAATGGATTGGTAGAGAATGCTAACCGAGCGATAAAAACGGCATTGAGACGGAATATTGCAGCACGGGACTCTCGGCCTTGGCCCGATATAGTTGATCACATCTTGGCGGTCCATCGCGGAACGCCCCATGAATCGACGGGCCTAAGCCCCTTTCAATTACGGACCAATAGCATCGCATGTGTTTCGATCCCGAGCCTTCACGACGAATCGGGGCTTAACTGGCGTCCCACCAGGGCCACGGCGCGGGACAAGGCCAAGCGACACTTGGAGTTGATGGAACGGTCCCTGCCTAGACTGGCCCGGAAACGACAGCAGTCCACCGAACTGGCCCATGGCCGACAAGTCCGGAGTTACGAGGCCCGGAATGGGAACGCGGGTCCCAGGACCCAATATAAATTAGGGGACATCGTGCAGGTACGGAAATGTGCGCGTCAGGGTAAGCTAGCGCCACGATTCTTCGGGCAGTATCGCGTCATCGAGCTCGGGCCTAACGGCGTGGATACCGTGCGCCTCCCCCCTCGAGGTTTCCGGCAGCCGATCGGCTCGTCCGATCACCCGCCACGTGTCCTATCTTCGTCTTCTCCCTTCTACCTTATCCCCTTCTTCGTCAACCTCTCCTGACGGCGACTCCATCTCTTCAGACTCTCCTTCTCATTCTCCCTCAATCTCTCCGTCACCTCTGCCATGATGTTTATGGAAGAGATTGCCTTCACTCCAGCATCGTTGGCGCCACGTGGAGGGTTCACGCTACGACAAGTGTATCATCCTCGTCTCAGTCCGGATCTTCGAAGACTTGCGCAGTTCTTCGGCACCAGGGGAGTATACGCGGCAGCGGAATTTCGCCACAACGAGCGAAGGGACGTGGTCGTGTTGGCCGAGGCCGTGGGCATACGGCAGCGATCGGCAGAGGGAGAGAGCCGGATTATGGTGGTGGTCAATTTCAGCGGCGACATCACATCGATCCTTGCGTTCCGGCAAGCGGGTGTCAAGGCCACGCTGCGGTGGTGGGCTCAGAACCTCCTCAACGAGTGGGTGCAGCGTTTGGCCCGACCAAGAGATGTGGTGACCCCGATCCAGGCGATCGACTACAAAGGATTCCGCGAAGACTCGCGCAATCGGCCCGTGCCCTTACCTCCTCTGATTCCCTTTCCATCCCGATGAGCTCCCTTCCCATCTCTACCTTTGGCCTTCCTTTTTCCTTTCCTACCTTCCGGCAGTCCGATCTTCACCCCCGTCTCTCCTTTCTTCTGAGTCCCCTGACTGTCCCCCTCATCGATCCTCACCAGTGGAACGCGTGGCGCAGGGATTTTATCGAGCTCTCCCTGTGTTTGGTGGAAGTGCAGGTGAAGTGGAATCGGGACGGAGCAAGCCATCAACAGGACGAACGGTGGGAGCTCCTTCTTATCCAAGCGTGGCGCACCGAGGTGGAGGGAGATCTTCTTGGCTTTCTATTTGGATCTGTGCGCCTTGGCAGCCGCAGGCTCCTCGTTCGGGAACTCACGGTCGTCGTCGCGCATCTGGCCGACGAGCTCGACCTCAGCATCATCGTGCACGTTGACGAGCGATTGGTCCCTTACCCTGCTGCCGTATCTGCAGTGGTCGGCCTGCATAGACGACTTTCCGCAGGGAATTCCACCGTCGCGGCTGGATTACTTAGATCCGCACGACATCATCGACATCGCTTTCTTCCAACCTCCTCTTCCGGAAGAGTTGGAAGAAAAAATCCGGGAAGAGCTGGCAGAAGAAAGTTCGGAGGAGGAGCCGAACGAGCACGAAGAAGAACAGGAGGAGAACCAGGAAGAAGAAAAGGACGAGGGATGGCGCCGCCTTAACGTCATCAAAGTCTATTGCGTCATCTCTGGACTCATCCCCGCTTGCACGGATCACCGCCGTTTTCGTGCAGCGCTGCTACGAACCTTTAATTCCCTCTATCCCGACTATCTCGCCTCCATCCCCACTACTAGCCGCCGCTTCCCCCGCTTCCATCGCATCGTTCATCATCGGGCTATCCCGGAGACGATCGATGCCTCCCGCCCATTCCCACCCGTCCTCCATCAGCACCACCCATAGCCTTTAGCCTCCCCTTTCCCATTACCCGTCATCCATAAAGACAAGATACGTGCCTGCCGCACAGCATGACTCCCACACTCGTTCATACGGTACGCGGCAGGTGGTTACACATGCGGCCCATCTTCGGAGAAAGTGACACGACAGCCAGCAAGCAGGAGCTTGCTGAAGATTGGAACCCCCTGGGCGTCACATATGTGACGAACCATCTTCTGTACCGCGCGACTTTCTGCTCGGTTACAATGAGGGGTCCTTAGATGGGAAGGTTGAGCCAATTACGGGAATCGGGATCAATGGGAAATTGCATCGGTGTCCTCGTCTTTTTCGTCGTTTTTCCTTCGGCGGTTGGGATGTGGGATGGGTGCTGGCTGGTTCGGTGGCCCTCCGGGGATTGATTGGTAGGCCGATTGGCTCACGCGCCTAAGTGCGCGCGATCTCCGTTGCATAGAGTACACGTACGGGGCCTTTCCGTACGAAGCGTACAGGTAATATCTGTACGGGATCTGTACGGGAACCTGTACGGAAACCTGTACGTTTTGTACGCCCCCGTACGAAAATAAATAAATAAAAATAAAAATAAAAATAAAAATAAAAAGTCATCAAAAAAATCCGAAAAACAAAAATGTGATGGAAAGTTACAATACAAGCAACATTTGGCTGAGCATCATCTCCAAATTCTTATTAGAATTTGAGAAAAAAAATAAAAACAATACCGGATTTAAAAAAATAATAATAATTAAAAAAAACTCGTACGGGGCCCCTAGCGTACGAGTAGCGTACAAGTACAAGAGTACAAATTCGTACTCGTACGAGGGTGCGTACAAGTGGCAACGCAGCGCGCGATTAATAAATGTTGACGGGTACTTTGTCGGGTGTCTTTCGGCGCGAACATCGCGCGGGAATTTCGTTCGTTCTTTTTCGAATTTCTTGCATTTCGATTTTGAATCTTGCTGAGCCCGATTGGGCCGTAGGAATTTAGATCTGTCTTTCCGGAATTTAGCATGACGGATTTTCGAACTTTTCCGCAATTTTGCAGTAGCTAGGAATTTAGGATTTTTTGAAATTTCGGAATTTCGACTTTTTTTGTTGCCGCACGCACTTCTGCGATTTTGCTTGCGCGCATCTTTTTGCAACTGCCACGCAGCTCTGTTCGGCCGACGCCCTTAATCGTGTGTGTAACTGTAATTCTGGGTGGGCGCCATCATAACTGCTTCTTTCTTCTTGGGCTTCGTCTTTTCCCGCCCTCGTCTTTCTTTCCTTCTTTCTTTCTTTTCGACTGTGTTTTGGGCGGCCGCGAGCTGCATGCTCGGATCGATGCGTGGAGA